GTAACCTCTTCGATATCAGCCACAGCAACTTCTTTCAAGATATGTCTCCAAAGGCAAAGGAAACAAAAGCGAAAATGAACTTTTGCACTTCATCAAAATCAAAAGCTTCTGCCCAGCAAAGGAAACAGTCAAGAAAACAAAGAGGCAATCCACGGAATGGGAGAAGATATTTGCAAATGACAGTACAGACAAAAGGTTGATATCCAGGATCTATAAAGAACTCCTCAAACTCAACACACACAAAACAGACAATCATATCAAAAAATGGGCAGAAGATATGAACAGACACTTCTCCAATGAAGACATACAAATGGCTATCAGACACATGAAAAAATGTTCATCATCACTAGCCATCAGGGAGATTCAAATTAAAACCACATTGAGATACCCTCTTACACCAGTTAGAATGGCTAAAATTAGCAAGACAGGAAACAACATGTGTTGAAGGGGATGTGGAGAAAGGGGAACCCTCTTACAGTGTTGGTGGGAATGCAAGTTAGTGCAGCCACTTTGGAGAACAGTGTGGAGATTCCTCAAGAAATTAAAAATAGAGCTTCCCTATGACCCTGCCATTGTACTACTGGGTATTTACCGCAAAGATACAGATGTAGTGAAAAGAAGGGCCATCTGTACCCTAATGTTTATAGCAGCAATGGCCACAGTTGCCAAACTGTGGAAAGAACCAAGATGCCCTTCAATGGACAAATGGATAAGGAAGATGTGGTCCATATACACTATGGAGTATTATACCTCCATCAGAAAGGATGCATACCCAACTTTTGTAGCAACATGGATGGGACTGGAAGAGATGATGCTGAGTGAAATAAGTCAAGCAGAGAGAGTCAATTATCATATGGTTTCACTGATTTGTGGAGCATAACAAATAGCATGGAGGACAAGGGGAGATGGAGAGGAGAAGGGAGTTGAGGGAAATTGGAAGGGGAGGTGAACCATGAGAGACTATGGACTCTGAAAAGCAATCTGAGGGTTTTGAAGGGTGGGGGGTGGGAGGTTGGGGGAACCAGGTGGTGGGTATTGGAGAGGGCACGGATTGCATGGAGTACTGGGTGTGGTGCAAAAACAATGAATACTGTTATGCTGAAAATAAATTTTAAAAATTATTAAAAAATATTGGGACTTTATCAAAATAAAAAGCTTTGGCATAGCAAAGGCAGTCAACAAAACTAAAAGGCAACCTATGTGATTGAAGAAGATATATAAAGAACTTAACAAAGAATTTAAGAACTTAAACAACTCAGCACCCAAAAATCAAATAACCCCATTAAAAAATAGGCAGATGACATGAGCAGACATTTCTCCAATGACAACGTACAGGTGCCCAATAGACATATGAAAAGATGTTCATCAGCACTTAGCATCAGGGAAACAGCCAAGTTTCCCATTGATTGATGAATGGATAAAGATGTGGTATGTGTGTGTGTGTGTGTGTGTGTATGCAATGAGGTATACACATATATGCAATGTGGTATATACATATGTGTGGTATATATATGCAATGTGATATATATATGCAATGTGGTATATATGGATCTTCAAAATGATGTGTGTATGTGTATATACATACATATGCAATGTGGTATGTGTATATATGCAAGGTGGTATGTGTATATTTATGTAAAGTTGTGTGTATATGTATAGCTTTATATATATATACATATATATGCATATATATGTGTGCAATCCCCCACACACATATATACATGCAATGGAATATTATTCAGCCACAAAAAAGAATGAAATCTTGCAGTTTGCAACTACATGGGTGGACCTAGAGAGTATAATGCTAAGCAAAATAAGCCTGTCAGAGAAAGATAAATACCATATGATTTCACTCCTATGCAGAATTTAAGAAACAAAACAAACCAGCTTAGGGGAAAAGACAAACTGAGAAACAGGGTCTGAACTATAGAGAATAAACTAATGGTCATCAAAGGGGAGGTGGGTGGGAGGATGGGTTAAGCAGGTGATGGGGATTAAGGCATGTACTTGTCATGAGGAGCACCAGGTGGTGTGTGTAATTTTTGAATCCTTATCTTGTACACCTGAAAGTAATATAAAACAAGTAACTGGGATTAAAATTAAAAAAAAAACCCTCAGATACAACACATTTCATCGATGAAATGTGCCTGATAGTGTAAGAAACATGCAGAAAATGAAAATAGCTCAAAGAATTATAAACATGACAATATAGAACTCAATATAATGTCTGCAAGAGAAAATTGAGAAAATATTTGAAAATGGAACAATTAGGAAGAGAGAATGAAAAAGATTTTTTTAAAAAACAGCAACCCAGAACCTCCAATATCTAATAGGAATTGAAAAAGGTAAAATGGAAGGGAATTATACAAGAAAATTCCCCAGGATTAAGAGGCATTCTAATTTTGATTGAAAGGGCCTGGTTTGTGTCCAACACAATAAACAAAAAATAAAAAAGATTTTTTCAAGGCAAAATTGCCTGAAATTCAGAACACTAAAGGTAAAGAGAAGTCCTAGGAATTTTCAGGAGAAAAAACAAAATGCAAATCAGGATAAAAGAAGCAAACATGTAATGTCTTTAGATTTTTTAGCAGTAATGTCAGGTTTCTCAGCAATAACAATATCCTTGAATACTTTATGCAGCTAACTATAATCCAATATGAGGGCAGAATAAGTATAATTGCAGACAAACCAGATCTCATTTTTTTTAACTCTTAATGCACACTTTCTCAGGAAAGTGATAGAGAATTGACCAAGAAAGAAGACATGGCTCCAGAAAAGAGACGTGAAGAGAATCGTTAGCGTCTCAGTGAAGGGACATCCCAGAGCAGTAGCCACTGATCTCCATGCCTGAAGGGTAAGATGTCTGAATAGAACACAAGGGTGGAGAGCACCAGGGGGTGGCTCTCCAGAAAAAAGATGCAATTCACAGGTTGCCTGATACATTTGAAGGTGTTTACAAGATATTAACACTCCCGGAAGAGAATTTGAGGATACGTGACTTATAGGTACATACCCCAAACTAAGCAAATCAAAATATGGTTAAATTCAAGAATACATTTTATAAGATAGACATTGATATCCTAGCACTTGGCATGCCTCAGCAGGGCTAAGATACATGTAACGATAGGAATGTATTCTCTGCATACTGACTTAAAAAATTCTAATTACACTGGGAAAATGAGAGGAGACAAAGAGTGTGAATGTGTATTTGTATGTCTATATATATGCATCTGATTGCATTTGTACACGATTCCAGCCAATCCTGCTTTCCCAACTTCCTATTCAGCAGTATCTGACAGTTTCTATGCATTTACGTTCTTTTGTTCTATGTCATTTTAGTGGAGTCTGGTGAGGGAAACTACCTCTTGTGGTAAGAGAGGACTCATATAACTAATGTACCTCTCCCGCAACGTGAAAATAATACATTATGGAAACATTATGGTTTCATTATGGAATACATTATGGAAACAAGTTGCTTAGAAATAGGAGAGTACTATACAGTATAGAGTAACTAGGGGTAAGGAAGGGTAATAATGTGTATGGAGAAGCTGAGATAATAATTTCATTATAAATACTTATAGGAGGGAGATACCGAGAGCATTTCTTACTGGAAAAATACATTTCTTGAGAGTGATCACAATAATTTAAATAAATTCTTTCACTCTTTTTGCCTCACACAATATCTTAAAATGTACCTTGTTTTAAAAATGTACATTCTTGTATGTGCTATGGTGAGTGCTGGGAAGTGTGTAAACCTGGTGATTCACAGACCTGTACCCCTGGGGCTAATAATACATTATATGTTAATAAAAAATTTAAAAAAATGTACATTCTTGATAATTTATTTTTAATGCCAGACCTCACAAAATGCAGAATCGATGAGTACAGATGCTAAAAGAGGCACTCTTCAACTCTCCCCAGCTCCTGCTCCAGAGAAGGGAAGGAAACAGAAATCCGAAAAGAAACCTCTTATTCTTCAGTAAACTGAAAATGCTATGAAAGGCTAAGAACTATGACAGAGCTCACGTTGCTCTAAATATTTTTGTTATGCAACTATGGTATCATTTAAATTTTTTTAAAATTTAAGTTCAATTTAATTAACATATACTGTGTTACAGCTTCAGAGGTAGACTTTGGCGACTCATAAGCTGCATACAACAGCCAGTTCTTACTTCAGGTGCCTTCCTGAATGCCCATCACCCAGTTACCCCACCCCTCACCTACCTCCCATCATTTTCTTTCTTCTACAGATCTGGACTATGAATATCGTGAGTACCGTTCATTAATTACAACAAATACTTAGTAAGCAGGTGCTATGCACCAAAATGGTTCTGGGAGCTGGAGATACACCGCACTTTCAGAGTACATGATGTAGCACTAGAGAAGTAGTCATACAGGCCGGAGGGACTCTACGGTAGTACCCAGACCGCTACAATGTGGAGTTACTTGTGTGGCATTCATCCCTTATCACAGATGAACTACCATTTTTGAGAAATCATTGGGATTGCTGCTCATCTTCCCTCAAAAACTATTGGAAATCTCCCTCGCTAACCACAAGAGGGCCTCAATTCCCGCTGTTAGATAGAAGATATTGGGTCAATTGAAACCAGATTTATCAGTTTCTGAACTTTACACTGCATACTATTACCAATAATATTTCTACATTGTATGTGCCCTGAACCACACAAGAAAATTCAAAGTCTTTAGTAAAGGATGTTAGATTTCATTCTCCGACGACCTTCAGTGAGTACTCTAAAAAAAAAGTTTCTACTCTTCATCTCTGTCACCTGCTTTATTTTTATCCCTAATTCTTATCAATCTCTGACTACTTATACTGTATCTATTTGTTTATTGTCTTTCTCCTCCTTTAAAATGTAGACCCTATGAGGGTATGTACTCAGAGCCTTTCTTGGACTCCATAAGAATTTATGAATGAATGAATGAATGTACCTGCTACGATTGCCTCCTTTCATCCTTGCACCATACACAAGTCAACATACCTGCTATAATATTGTCCAGCAGCGTGATAGGCATGCAAAATATGCCAACCAGTAAATCACTTATTGCCAGGTTCAGGATAAAGAGATTAGTGACAGTGTGCATATGTTTGTTCCTCATCACAGTAAAACAAACTACTGTATTTCCCACCATGCACAGGACGAAGATGAGAAAGTAGGAAATAATGAAGATTGCTGCCACTCGAGGCTGGTGAAGATAGTAGTTCACATAGGTGATATTGATATCTGAGTATAGGTGATACTCTGTGTCATTGACACTCCAAATATCATGCCAGTTTTCTGAAGAGTTTGAGTCCCATCTCTTATTCATGATGGACCTGAACAAAGGAGAGGTAGAAAAGAAAAAGCATAATTAGAAGCCAATAGAACATAAGTTATGTACGTGAGTTTAAAAGGAACACTTTTAAAGTGCAAGGGGATTTTGATGGTCCTTCTATAATAATCCATTAATTCTGCATGGAACGGAGCTGTACATAATACAGTCGAATTATTAGGATTTTAACCAAGAGAACTTTAAATTTCCACTTTGTTTCATAAATAACAATTAGTATATTTTCTATGTCCTCAATATGCTCTGTATTTCACTTTATTATACCTCCTATCCATTTGCAAAGTTTCAAGGGAAACTCTGTAAGTGAAATCTTTTGAAATGCCCTTTCTCCTGTCTCTAGGTATCATAACCTATCAAAACCTACTTGTTCCTTTAAGGCTAACTTACATGTTTTTAGCTTTCCTGGCAATTTAGACAAGATGAGGTGTCTCCATCTTTAAAACTGCCTTTGAAATAAGCTTCTTGTAGATTTCTTATTCTGCTTTGACTAAGTTAGTTGAATATGTCTTTTATATACGCATGGATAGCCACTATACTGTGAATTTCTTAAAATAAGCCCATACTTGCCTTGGCTTCACTTAACATAATTCCATTCACATAGTATGTATTAAATAAATATTTTTATTTGGAATCCATATATCTTCATGTAGATATGTCAGTCAACCTTATATGTCTGAGGTCCTCAAGAACATGCCCAGATCTGGTGATTTACTAGAAGGCTTCAGAGGATTTAGCATTTGGTGTATCCACAGCTAATATTTATTAGAGCAAAAGGATACCAAGCAAGATCAGCAAATAGCAAGGCACATAAGATAAAACCTGCAGTAAACCAGCTTCTAAGACTCTTTCCCAGTGGAATCACACGGTGAGTTAATTCCTCCAGCAATGAGTTTGACAACACGTGTGAAGTGTTGTCTACCAGGGAAGCTCATTATAAACTCAGTGCCCTAGGTTTTTAATTGGAGAACAATCACATGGTACATTCCTCTTAGCGGTATCAAAATTTCACACTCCCTGATGGAAAGCAGGTGTGCAGAAGAAACGATGTTGTTTGTACAGATTAGGTATAATAAGCACTCTCACCATTTCTGGACACTTTATATCAATATAAGGAATCGTATTTGACTTAAGTTCCCAGACTCTAACCAAGGGCAAACCTTGTGAGCAGTCCTTTCTAAAGATAGCAGGTTCAGGCCTGCTTGTTAACTATTTTCTGCATACCTCATTATCACTATATTTTCCAGTGTTTCAAGTGCATACTTTATTATTTTAGGGGAGTATGTTTATTCTTTTTTTTTTTTTTAAAGATTTTATTTTATCCATTTGACAGAGATCACAAGTAGGCAGAGAGGCAGGCAGAGAGAGAGAGGAGGAAGCAGGCTCCCTGCTGAGCAGAGAGCCCAATGTGGGGCTCGATCCCAGGACCCTGGGATCATGACTTAAGCCAAAGGCAGAGGCTTTAACCCACTGAGCCACCCAGGCACCCCGGGGAGTATGTTTATTCTTATAAATACTGCATAAAGATTAAGGTTCATAGTATTCATTTCAGATACTTGACTTTGGATAGTTTTTTCTATTTTAGGTACAGTAAAGAGTAAATAAGTTACTATAAGACAAGTATATAAATATAAAACAAGCCAATAAAAACATTTCTCTCTAATATTTTGCCATTTTATTTCTTCCCTTTTAATTTTTAAAGCTCATCTCTGCTTTTCAATATTTAATGTCCCTAAGCCCGAATAAAAATGAAAAATGAAAAGAAAGTGAGTGTGGGGTAGGGTGAGGGCTTGGAGAGAGAAAAAGAATGGAATTTGAGTAAACAAGATTTCACTATTCCTATGTGGCAAGATAGCAACATGCAGTACAGAGGAGTAGCAGAAGGACATGTAATATTTAAGTGTTCTTTCCTCCTGACACACAATTGTAAGAATTTTGTACATGCAGTCAGAGTTTCAGCTACTAAATTAACCTATAATGGGGGATAGGATAATAGCACTCATAGTACTATGGTAGTGAGGCAGAGAAAAGCCAGCTTCTCATTGATCCTGGGAAGATCCCCTTATCTCAATTTAATATACCAAGGAAAATTGCTCTGTGGTATTCTTGCATCTGGCGTCTTTTTCATTGGGCACTTAAAAATTCTATACAGATGATTAAAAAGCTTTAAATAAAATCTTCCTTCAATTAAATACCTTTCCTGTTTCCAGTTTTTTTTTATAATCTGGAAAAAATGTGTTATCATATCATTATCTGAATTCAACTATACAGAATAAAACCAGATGACATAGCTTAAATTCTTTTTTTTAATTTATTTTTCAGTGTTCCAATATTCATTGTTTATGCACCACACCCACTGCTCCATGCAATACATGCCTTCTATAACATAGCTTAAATTCTTATAAATTCACAATCATAGTAAGTCATACACTGGCTAGCAACAGTATCATTTTACCTAAAATAAATATGTCTCCCAATTTCAACTAAGAAAGAGTCCATAAATACTCTAACCTATGAAGTTTAAATGCACTGTTTCATACATATCATCTAAAGAATTCGTCCTCTGAAAGAAGAGTCTATATTCTTCATTCCTATATCAAATACTCATAAAAATGACCAAGACTCCAATAAATTGTCACAGTCATGGGCTACCCAGGCTGCCAGACACACACAAGTGAACTGTGGCCACCACTCCCATTTTGGTCATCTATCTCTCCTTGGGCTTTGCCCTGTTGCCTCTATTACTATGGTATTTATTATTAATTTTAATTAGTTCTTCATTTTTTCCTTTTCTTCCCCCCATGTAGGATTCAAGCACAGGAAGTTGGCAGTATTTACTTCCATCTATTTGGATGATCTAAACTACACTCTGTTAATTATAACCAAAAGGTATTACAGTTACTAATTTATAACAACTTAAATTGTTAAAATAATTGAAAAGGAGAGATAGGGAAAATGGGAAGGACAGAAATGTTATAAATGCACAAGCTCAGACTGGGGGTGAATCACTGGCAATCATTATGAGATCATAATAATGCCTAATATTTAACTTTTCAAAGCACTTTCAAATGTATCACCATGGGGGCACCTGGGTGGCTCAGTGGGTTAAGCCTCTGCCTTCGACTCAAGTCTTGATCTCAGGGTCCTGGGATGGAGCCCCGCATCAGTCTCTCTGCTCAGCAGGGAGCCTGCTTCTCTCTCTCTGCCTGCCTCTCTGCCTACTTGTGATCTCTGTCAAATAAATAAATAAAATCTTAAAGAAAAAAAAGTATCACCATGGACATCAGCATCATGGAAGCAAAAGACATCCCTCCTCTTTGCACGCCTTTTTAACAACTAAAATTCAGCACTGGTCTGTGAACAAAAGTGCGTCTGTGGGAGCTGTGGGATCCAGCACCAAAGGCCAAAACTGTAGAGAAGGCATCTCACCCACCTGTGCACTGAGTAAGAGTCAGACACAGTCAAACCGACCTCATATGGCTGTGGAACAAGCAGGAGACCATGGGTTGGACCCAGTCCCTTCCACCACCCTGGGATAAAGCCTGAACAGGGCTGAATTGGGAGGATGAATGAGTCTTGTAGAAGTCCAGGTTACCTGAGGAGAGATTCCAGCACTCTCCTAAAGCAAAATAAACAAAAACCAGAAACACGTCTCGAAGCATTGAAGAGGGGAGGAGGAACTTTGCCAGTGCCACTCTCTCAGATCTGGTCCTGATTAATAGCCAAGATAGGGAGAAAAATCAGTGGACTTCTTTTCACTGGAAAAAAAATGAAAAACAAACAAAAAGCTGGGTTCCCATTAATCTATAATCTGAAAAAAAGAAGCAACACATGGCCCTGAATGACACTGTAAGTTTTACTAATGCATGGGGTGCTGAATGTTGCATAAATCTCTGCCACAGCTAAATCATGTCTTAGATGGTCTGTGATTTCACTGGTGAAACTGAATGAAAGCCGGACTTCTGCAAATGATGCTCCCTAGGATAAGGTAATACATTAGAAAGCTGAGCTGAACCTGACTGATCGAAAACACGTTAGAATGGGTTATCCAGGGGAGGAAGAGAATTGGCCTTTAGAAACGTCGCACATTCAATTAAATGTCTCCATCAAATCACACAAAAAGTTTCAAATAACTGCACAACTGAAGATGAACAGTAATTGAGAATGGAAAATGATATCAAGATAGAGACAGAGTCACTATGAACATGTTTTATTCCTACTCCTCACTGGGCCTTCCAATCAAGTCATGGTGTTCATCATGGCACTAGAGACACTATTCCTTATTGCAAATATTAAAGAAAATGGAGTAAGACATATAATAACAATGAGAAATGTGTGGCCTCTCCATCTCCCCTTGTCCTCCATGCTATTTGTTATGCTCCACAAATAAGTGAAACCATATGATAATTGACTTTCTCTGCTTGACTTATTTCACTCAGCATAATCTCTTCCAGTCCTGTCCATGTTGCTACAAAAGTTGGGTATTCATCCTTTCTGAGGGAGGCATAATACTCCATAGTGTATATGGAGAAAGGAGTTGAGGGAAATTGGAAGGGGAGGTGAACCATGAGAGACTACGGACTCTGAAAAACAATCTGAGGGTTTTGAAGGGGTGGGGGTGGGAGGTTGGGGGAACCAGGTGGTGGGTATTAGAGAGGGCACGGATTGCATGGAGCACTGGGTGTGGTGCAAAAAACAATGAATACTGTTACGCTGAAAAGAAATTTAAAAAAAGAAAAGAAGAAAAAAGAAATGTGTGGCAAAGAAATAGGTCAGAAACAAGTGGAAACAATGGAAGATGTTAAAGCAGCGAGCCTACAATCCAAGCCCGCAGACGTCAGGAGAATGCCTCCGGCGAAAGAAAGGAGGACTGATGATTCAGACTAATGTTCTCGTGGACAGAATAACTGTAGCTCAAAGTAGGGTCATGATATTTGCTCAGACTTTATTATCTTTGAGTATTAACTTTGAGTATTTTGATATCTATTCTTTGTTGAGCATTCTATGAATTGCTTTGTATGTGTTGACCCCTTTAATCTTCCAGTACAAAGTAGCTACTAAATTTAGTATATAAAGAATTT